ATTCAGCCATGTTTCTCGATACCGAAAACGCCTGATTTTGCAACTTTGAATGGTCCGATTTAGACGCTTTCCTCCGAGCCCTTCCGCACTCGAACCCATCGGCAGATGACGCCCCGCCCCCGTCCAGACAGGCTCCGCCCCCAGTGCTGTGCGCCCTGCGGCGGTCAGAGGCCAGCAACTTCACGGCCAGTCTGCGAGAGCTGGAGAAGGTAAGACTGTACAGGACTGTCTCAGAAAATGAGAATATCGCGATAAAGTTCTTTATTTTTCTGTAATAGATAGGATAGGATATATGGGTTTCTTAAGCTGTAAGCCATAATCAGGCGATATTAAAACAATAAAAGGCTTGCGATATTTCAGTTGATTTGTAATGAATCCAGAATGTATGAGATTTCGTGTTTTTTTAATTGCATTACAGAAAAAAATAACTTTATCACAATATTCTAATTTTCTGAGACAGTCCTGTAGACACGGCTTCCGATCAGAGACTGGGATTAATTTCTTATTTATCTACATGTTGATTTCTATGTGTCGTTGGCCAGTGCATGCTGACACGGCATTTATCTCTGAGCTACTGGCAGGTGGGAAATTTAGCCGCCTCCTCGGGGACACTTGCTGGATATTTTCATCTTTAATCTTCATCACAGTCTTGAACGAACACAAATTTTTTCATACAAATGTAGGAAGACACATTGCTAACTCACTATAATAAATAATTCATGCAAACTGTTTAGAACCTTTCACATAAACAATCTGTTAAAATTATTGAAAAGAAAAAAAGAAAAATAGGATAGAATACAAAAATAAGTTTTGGATCAAAAGCAAAAAGAACTTCAAAAGAAAAAAAACATAGCAGCTTTTCATGAGCTAATCGTGACAATTTATCCATGATTTTTGTCATAATCAACTTTTCTCCTCACTCATTCTGAAACTCACCAGAGAAACACAGTTACAATCCCCAGCTTTGCTTCTGTGTGCAGCATAAACTCAGTTTTAAGGAGGACGAGATGACTGTAGAAGGAGCTATTAAAGATCAGTAGATTAGAATAACAAGTATAGTTACACAAAACTTAGGAAATCAGTATTACAGTATTACAAAAAAGGACAGTTCTCAGTAAAAACAATTCAAGTCTCATGATTATAATGATTACCACGTCTGAATGAGCGCTTTTCATCCTTTTAACATTGTTCTATCTCCGCTCTGGGAATCGTACAGGGCAACACTTGGATAAGTTCTCCCAGAGTTCCTGAATGCTTTGTTGGGCTGTGTGTGTCTGCAGTGCGGCTGGTATTGGGGTCCGATGAACTGGGAAGATGCGGAGATGAAGCTGAAGGGGAAGCCAGACGGTTCCTTCCTGGTCAGAGACAGCTCGGACCCTCGATACATCCTGAGCCTCAGCTTCAGATCCCAGGGTGTCACACATCACACTCGCATGGAGCACTACCGAGGTGAAACACACACACTCACATATTTTCTTTGAATTTCTTCATCATTTGACTGGGACAGTGCATTGTACATATACAGCAAAGCTTAATACTATATTGCTTATACCTAAATACGGTTCACAATGTGTGTCACTGACATAAAAACTAAAAAATCTGCATAAAAATGTAGTTAAAAATTAGAAAAAATAACAATTAGAACAAGAGCTATGAAGTCTAGTTGAGTAATGCCTTCATACTCATAATCTTTTAGTGGAACGAGGCAAATAAGCTGAGAAAAAATCAAGTGAAAACCTTCAAAAGCTTTTGAGAGAGAGACGGACGAACAATGCACCGTAACTTAAAAACAGGAAGTTCAACTTTAAAAGGGGTAATAAGCTTAATTTGGGTTTAAGATGGTTATTGCCTCAGGGTAGTAAACATCTTAAGCCCAAACTCAGCACAGGATCTCTTCCCAAAACTCAGCTTATGCTTTATAGCAAAAGCACCTGATGGAGATTTGTTACAAGTTCCAAATCAAATTCTTATCTGGGGGCAAAAAGAGAACTAATTTAATTGTGGTATTGACAAGAGTAATTTTGTACACCTATTTTTCTACATGTTATTTTTTGTTTAATTTAAATGTTTGTTTTTTGATACTTTTGACTGTTTTTCACAGGTTTGGTATGTCTTTTTGAACATTTTAATCTGAAATTCTTCAATACTTTGACACGGTTGCAGGAGAATATGTACACCCTGGATGGGTCACCAGTCAATAAAATATAGAACATTAATAAACCAAGATTGCTCACGATGGGATACTTTAAACTTTGGACAATACTTGTTTTACAAGCTTTCTGTGTGGGGTTTTCATGTTCCCTCCTGATACCTCCAACAGTCCAAAATCATGCATGTTAGATCAAGAAGAGACTCTGAATTGACCTTAGAATTAAGGACCAGCGTGTCTATTTCCCCTCTTAAAGGAGCCAATAAGAATAAAGGTTCAAATTAAGGGAGAAAAACAATATCCTGAAAGCTGCATGATGATTGAGTATACTGTAATAATGAACATCTACAGGAGTTTTTGTTCTTTTAGTGGACTTGAACTGAAGGCCAATTTCTACTGTTGAGTTGATTTACAGATATTAAAGATGTTACTTGTGACACATCCATTGACACAAAAAAATCTTGTTTTTCCTCAGGGACATTCAGCTTGTGGTGTCACCCCAAGTTTGAAGACCGCTGCCACTCTGTGGTGGAATTCATCGAGCGCGCCATCATGCACTCCAAGAACGGCAAATTCCTCTACTTCCTCCGCTCCAGAGTCCCAGGTAGAAGAGAGAAAAGTACACACACAAACGCACAAACACACACAAATGCAAGATATTTTCATTTCAGATTAGGGATTTTTATTACTGCCTTGAACCTGGGGCAAAAGTAGTGTAAACGAAACCACCACAGTGCTGACTCGGCACTAAACTTAAGGACTCTGGAGACCAACGGTGTGAACAGAGCGAGGAGATGTTGCTTTGCTCGATGTTTGCGCAGGCCGGTGGGGTCAGAACGGGTCGGAATGTGAGTTGTTGATGTTCGTTTCAGGGCTTCCACCCACTCCCGTTCAGCTGCTGTATCCCGTGTCCCGCTTCAGCAATGTGAAGTCTCTACAGCACCTCTGTCGCTTCTGCATCCGACAGATAGTCCGCATCGACCACATCCAAGAGCTTCCACTGCCCAGGTACACTATCATTTATAACCACGTACGAATTCTATAAGGTATCAACTAACC